TTTAACTAAAGATGCATAAAAGAAAAAATAAAATAGAAAATACTTTTAAGAAAAAATAAAAAAGAAAGAAATTAGTAGAACAAAGAAGTTGAAAGAAATAATGTCAGCATTAATTTTGGCTCTTTTCAAATGAGAAAATAATTTTTTCCTTATCCTCCTCCTAATTTGATATGAATTTTACAAATATATTAATTTTTCCTCCAAATAATTCTTTCTTATTCTCCTCTTAATTTGGTATGAATTTCATAAATAGATTGATTCTTTCTCCAAATATTCTTCTTGCCCTTTGAACAATCTACACACTTATAAATTTCTCAACCAAATGAATTTCCCCCCCAACAAATATCTCTTTATAGGAAAAATTATAATGCAACATCCTTTCAAAAAGTCTTTTATTTTGAGGAGGTACACTTGTTGCATGACCTTTCTTGATAAACAATGTGATATCCAGAAATCGATTGACATGAAAAAGAAGAGGCGAAGGAATTTCTCAACCAAATGATTTTTCCCCCCAACAAATATCTCTTTGTAGGAAAAATTATAGTGCAACATCCTTTCAAAATATCTTTTATTTTGAGTAGGTACGCTTGTTGCATAACCTTTCTTTATAAACAACGTGATATTTAGAAATTGATTGACGTGAAGAAGAAGAGCCGAAGGAGTCTATTATTGTTGTTTATGGATGATCAAATGTTTCTATTTTATAGGCTAAATATAAACAGTTGTGGAAAATGAAAAGTTGTTGATCTCTTTATCTCCCATTTACTTAAATGTATATTAATTTGAGGAATGTTTAAAAGGGATGTGATTAATTGGTAATGCATTAAAACACTTTCAGTTCTTTAAAGTATAAATTTAAAAATAGAAAACAAATATAAAATGTCAAAAAAGGAGATAAAAAATAAATAGAAATGGAGCTCATAGAGAGGTGCCACATCAGATTGTTTATATACAGCTTTATATATATATATATAGATTCATTATCACTGTCACCACCATAATCAACCTCTAGCATCATTGTTGTCAATCTCTACTACCGACCACCTCCATCATCACAATTAGTATCGTCACCAACTATTACATATACATCGTCAATCACCACACATTCTTCAACAACCACTATCAAAACTACCAATTACTAACATCAACCAACTTCACCATCACAATCAATATACACTATCAATTACTAACATCAACCAACTTCACCATCACAATCACCACCTCCAATACCAACCGCTACTATCATGTTAGTTACTACGCCATTAACCACTTCCACCATCACAACTATCTCCACTTACTAGAGTCTAACATCAATCATTATCATCATCACCAAAACAAATCATCTTCACCATCACTAGCGAACACAAATATTTCATTTTTGTCAAATAACAATATTATTTTATTAAATTTATATTTTAAAATTGTAATTAATTTATTTTATTATAATTATATATTTATTATGTTTATAAGTAAATAAATTATACATATTCAAATATTGTAAAATAATGTATCTTAATTGTCCAATGATCAAATATTAAGACGATATCTTAATTATTTAATAAATGTCCAGTAAGATTCTATTATATTTATCTTAATAAAAAAAAAACAAATGAATGATTCCTACATAGTAAGTTTTGTAGTATGTAAAAAGTATAGATTGCACTAGAAGCTACGAGAAAAAGCAAGAATTATTGAGAATGTCCACTTGGCACCAATGATACCCTCAATAACTTTATCCCGAAATCACACATGTATAATCTTGCTAACATCCACCTTTTTTCACATTCAAATCCTCTTACAAAATTGCACCAATTAACTTTCCTTTTATATGTGACAGAATAAATCCAAAATCACATTCCCAGATCACCATTTTAGCAGAAAATAACAAAGAAGTTCAATATAAGAAAAAAGAGAAACAAAAGAGTAATCAATGGCTTGGTCCACTCAATTTTTCTTGCACTATCATCCATTGTCTAAAATACATTTAATATCATTAAGTGGTGTTTCAACACTCAAGCCTTACCAATTGGTCTGTTGTGCCCAAAAGGATCAACAAGATAACGCCAATGATCATGTTTTTGTCTCACGTAGATTGGCTCTTACTCTCCTCATTGGTGTTGCTTCTATTTCTTCCAAAGTTTCCCCTGCTGATGCTGCTTATGGAGAATCTGGTATTCCTGCACTTTCCTATCTAAAATTACTTTAAATATCACCTTTTTTGTCCTAATTTTGTGATGTGATTTAATTAGACACGAAAAAATTTAAGAAATAGGGGAAAATTTTATAATGTTCCAAAATAACTTTTAAAAAATGTACAACTTTATAGACTTTTTCCCAATTGAGTCGGACCCAATATGGATAAAATGTTAATAGTGTCCTTCAATATTTATCAAATACAAAAATATGTTATTCTTTTTTAGACTAATTAAAAAGAAAAATGAGCTATATGCGTATAACAATAGAGTTTAGTTTATATATATACACAATGAAACGGTAAGATTTACCCTTTTATTAAAATTCATTTAATTGGAAATGCTAGATTATTACTCTTTGTTTCTACTTATCATATTAATTAAAGTTACATATATTGGTAATGAAACTCCATATCGTCTTGGTGGATAATCTTGACAACAAGTAGATAATATGTTTCCACTTGTATCTCTGTATTGCACGTTATAATTACTCTATTTTTTCAAGATTTCATGTCAAATTTTATGTAGATAGTAACAAAAATTCAACATTAACTCTTTATAGAATGCATACTAATAAAACTATCCCCCAAACCTCCAACCAGAAGAAACAAATAACATCATTTTCCCGTTTTATTTCCTCTCAAGAAAAGTTCCTTTTTTTCGTTGTCCATGATGCCTAGCTTCACAGATTAGGCTGAATCCGGTAACACTTTTGCTAAAGAAGTTTATTAAATATGTACAAATATTAAACTTATAAGCCAATTATTAACACTTATTATCATCGTTATAAAATCCAGCTCTTTTGTTACCTCCTCTTTTCCAAGAGGGATGGATATGTTCATTCTGGAATATGATATTGTTGTTAAACCATCATGTCCTTTTGTTAACAGACTTTCAAGAATCAAAATATTAAAAGATGGACATTTGCAATTTGTAAAGCCTAATTATCCATTTGTTATTTATGGGAGATCTTTGTAGGTGTCAAGAATTTCACCTATATATCGAGGATATATACGATGTGATGTCTAGAAAATTATCATGAGTTGTCAAAGTTGAGCATTTTTATATACCATCAAGCTTTTTAGGATTTATGTTTCTTTGTTGAATATGAAAATAATGCTTGCATTATGTATGTTGTTTACGTGACCATAATAATTCACACACCCTCCTATTAACATGGGAGGCTTTGTGAATCATTTATTTGTGATGCAGCAAATGTTTTTGGGAAACCAAAGAAAAACACCGATTTCTTGCCATACAACGGAGATGGATTCAAGCTGCAAATCCCATCGAAATGGAATCCAAGCAAGGAAGTAGAGTACCCTGGTCAGGTTCTTAGATATGAAGATAACTTTGACGCCACTAGCAATGTCGTTGTCACAATAACTCCAACTGACAACAAGTCCATCACTGATTACGGTTCACCACAACAGTTCCTCTCTCAGGTAATTAATCATACACTACTAAAAAAACAGTGTTTAGCGGCGGATAAATTCGTCGCAAATAGACATATATCCGTCGCTAAACTATATTTGCGACGGATTAGCGATGAAATGTTGACCGTTATAATTTTGCTCGTAGCTAACCCCTTTGCAACGACAAAATTGATTCCGTAGCAAGATTAGCGACGATCTAGCTACATATGATATCCATAGTAAAATGGTAGCGACGGAAACTTTTGTCGCTAGATTTATATATTTCGTTGCAAATTACCTAAATGAATTCGTCGTCCTATAATTTTACGACGAAAATAATTTATCGCTAATCCGTCGCAAACTTTTGGCAACCAATTAGTATTTGTCGCTAATCCGCCACCAATTTTAATTCTTTAACTATTCCCAAAATCCGTCACAATATTCCATCGTTAAATTTGTCGTAGGTATAATTCTTTCTATTCATTTTATTTATTTATTTATAATATATAGAAAATGTAAATTATTAAACATCCTACTAATAACAAATATTCATATAACATAAATGTTACTTCATATATAACGTGTGCACCAAAACATATATTCATCTAATATTAAGTCCAAAACATCTACACCAAGTATCAAACATCTAGCAATTACTAATGTTTAGAACTCGTAATTGTTACTGCATAATTTGTTTTCCTTTAACAAAAATCAGATATGAAAAACTAATGCTAGGGAGAAGAAATATGGTCATCATCTGAAACAACCTTATTAGGCACCATAGGTGTTGCTGATGATGCGTCACCAATAGGAGTATCAGCTGATTGATGTGATGGTAAAGAAGTTACACCTTGTATGCACTCAAGTAATATAGGAATCATGTGATCAGTCAATGTAGGAATCTAATTTCTTCACGAACTCATCCATATTTTCCATCGGTGCAAATTGAGAAACAGATGGTTGTATTGATGATGAAGCATCAAATTGAGAAGAGATACA